TAAGTGTATGAAAAAATATCGAAAAAATAAATTTTGTAGAACTTTTTGAAACAACACCCAAAATTATATGAAAAGTGGTTATTTTTAACTACCGGTATCTCTGAAACTTTTCAAGATAATTTAAAATTATCGAGAAATTAAAATATTTTAAAGTAATGTATAATCAATCAATATACATATTTTAATATTAGGAAAGAATAAGTTTTTTGATTAAGATTATAAGTCAAATTAAGATTAAGAAATATAGCAATTAAAAAATTGAGATGTTTGCTGTTGTTATGTCGGACTTCTTCCTTCACAGATTTCTTCTACTCCGGGTACTTTTACGGACATCACGGCACGACTTAATTTCGGTATTTTGTAAAAATTATTTTCACATGTTTTTTTTTGTCACTGTAACATGATACATTAAGACCGAAAAGTTTTCGGAAATTCTCATTTAAAATTCGCGCGCTGTATATTTTTCGATATTTTAAGTTTATGTAGTTTGGCAGAAATTAAGGACAATTACTATGCCAAAATGAGCGCGATCTGTCAGACAGTTCGTTTACGGCAGCTGTTGAAACCAGTTCACCTCAGTAGTGCGTTGCGAAAAAAACAATGGAAAAAAATATTGAACAAAGAGTTTGCATCAAATTTTGTGTTTCGAACGAAATTTCGTGTGCAGAATCGTTGCGAATGCTACAAAAGGCTTATGGGGAATCAGTTTTATCGAAAACTCAAGTTTATGAGTGGTACAAAGCCTTTCAGGACGGTCGTACGACCGTCGAAGACATTTCGCAACGCACTACTGAGGTGAACTGGTTTCAACAGCTGCCGTAAACGAACTGTCTGACAGATCGCGCTCATTTTTGGCATAGAAATTAAGGACAGTGCTGCCAAACTACATAAACTTAAAATATCGAAAAATATACAGCGCGCGAATTTTAAATGAGAATTTCCGAAAACTTTTCAGTCTTAATGTATAACCAATCTATTCAGAAAAATTTTTTTTGAGGATCACCCTAATGTATATGTATCTATTTAGATTTGGATAATTAAGGTTGGTTCATACTTTTGTTTTACCTTTGGAGTCCTAAAGAACTCTAAGTTTTTGAGATTTAAAAAATCCTAAAAGCTTAATACTTATTTTCATCTCAACTACAAAGCATGTAGAACAGTTGGAACGAATTGGTATATATATGAAAAGACTATTTTGTAAAAGTCTAAAGTAAGTTTCGGGTTTTATTAGACACTTAGGGTTTTATTAAAATTTTTAGTAAATCTTAATAATTCTTCAGTTTTCTTAGGTACTAATTTATCTGTAAATTTTAATGATATATAAAGTAAGTAAAAATCTAAAGTAAGTTTAAGGTTTTTTGAATACTAATTGATTGATGAATCTTAGTACTTAATACCGTGCTCTGTACTCTTATAGTATTACACAATATATAGCATTACGGTTATATACCAATATACTAATTTTTTATCACAAGAATCTCAAGAAATATATTTCGTATCAGACTTTATGTCTATTGTTATTTTATTAGCTAAATCATTCACTGGGCCTAAACTGTTTTTTTTAGATTTTCTCTCTCATAAAATAATAACACTGACCTACAAAACAATATTGATTCTGATATTATCCCCATAAAAATGCCAAAACCAATTAAATTATTTTGCTATGCCATATGATGCGTTAAACCGGAAATGATACAATTATGTCTGCTTCTTCTTATTAATAGCTTTGCCATACGACATAAGCACAGCACAACGTTACATGAGCTCCATACGCTTTCGTACTCATACATGCACATAAGTATAATTTCACTGCCTGACGTGAGCTACACTGAAAACTTCCTTTTTATTGTGTTTTTTTTTATTGGTTTGTTTAATGGATATACCCTGCTTTGGCAGTGTGTAATTGTCGATGTACAAGCGGTTGGCTTCCCCTGGTGTTAATTTCTTTTCAATAAAACATTTGCTTTGCTTTGTTTTTATTTGTTTTTTTGGTTTTGTTTTAACTTTAAAGCTGCCGCTAACTTGTGGTTGCTTCAAATAAATGTTATTGTTGTTTTGCCCTGCGTAAAACATCAAATGGCTTATAATGAAATGAAAGTGTTGGGGTCTAATTCAAATTTTCTTCGTACTGAGGGGGCAGACGAATAGTGCGACAGTAAATGAGCCACATCTACTTACATGTATGTGACGTGTGCCAACACTTTTATTTGCTGGTCTTTTGGGATTTCATTTATATTTGACAATTCTTTGGTTGGGTGTATTTGCCTATAAATATATTACATGGCATATTATTTTCATTCATTTTAGCGTCATTCTATAGTAGCATCGTGTGTATAAACACAAACTTTTTCTTTGTAGTTGTTATTTTAGTTGTTGGTATGTGTTTGTTCATATTCAATGTCAAGGGAAACGATTGCATTACTGCTGTATTAGAATGATTTAAGCATTGTTTTTGTTGTTGTCGTTGTCGTTGTTGTGATTATGTGGCCTAGCCTGCTACTAATTACAAACGATAACAGCTCACTGCTGTTATTTCTGCTTTGTTTGTTTTTGTCGTTGGTGCTCTTTTTATAATTGTAGCTGTAGTTGTATTTGTAGTCGTTGTTGTATAGATGTCGTTGTTTATATTTGTATTTCTTTTATATGGCGTTTTCTTAAAATATGAAAAAAGTTTGAAGCTTTGAAGGCATAAATAAAATTTGTTTTGAAGTTTTATAAGCAATTAACATATGTGCGTACGTATTTCTTTGTACACTTCTTCTTATATGAATAGATATGTACATATATTAATATATATATTTAGATGCCTAGCTACTGCGTTATGTGAAAGGAAATACATTGGATTCTAGGAAAAACATGTCAGTTTGCATTGATTTATCACACAACACATGATTTGTTGCTCATTATTTTGACTTGATATTTTCCAGTTCCGTGCTTTGAACTTGATTTATATTCAAGGTTTTATATGAGAAGACTCTGATTTGACACCCTGCACTTTGAAGAGTATTGAGAATAGAAACGCATAGTAACCCTTTTTCTTTATATAAGTTACATACAGCCCCTCCATATGCAAGCAAAAAATAAAAAGTCTCTTGCCAAAGCCTTTAATTTGTATGCAAAGCAACAATAATACTCTTTTACTCTCACACACTAGCTATAAAGTCGCTAATCATCTAAGAGACTACAGAGAGAAATGTTATCAAAGCGATAAGCGATTTTTTGTGAACTTTTATTGGATATTTTAATGATTATCCCAGTCATATGTGAAAAGTTTATAAACAAAAATTTAAACAACATTAAAAAATTTCATAAATTTGAAAATTTGGAAAATATTTTAAAAATTTACAAAAGTTGTAGAAAATAAATATTTTAAAATTGAAGAGGCTTTTCGAACAGTTGTGAACTACAACAACAAAAATTCATTTTATATTATTTTAATTAATAGCATTTTTGGCTGACTATACAGCTGTTTCGAGTATTGCCAAATACCCATTATCAATAGTCTTGGAAATAATTCTTGTATTTAATTATTCGTAAATAATTTTTTTTTTTTGAGACTGCAGGCACCAAGAATTGAACTCGTGCCCTGTCAAATTTGGAATTCAGAGTCAGCGTTCCGTAATCAACTGACCCAAAGCCGTACTTGACTTTTATGTTTGCACATTTTTCTGGAGTTTTGTTACTTTTTTGTGAAAGTTTTTTATTAACAAATTCACTTGATGTGTTTATATTAGAACGAAATCATAAACCAGTTGTAGAATAATTAAATTAATTAATTGTATTTTTATTTTTAATTGTTAATTTTCAATATGTGGTTTATCTTGAATTTATCACAAATTCGTTAGACTTGTGAATTGTGAAAGCATATTTGTTAGATTGCAACAATAATATCAAAATGGCAGCCAGGAACTTCATCAAGAGACTTCAGCAAAAGATTATAGTAAGAGATTTGCTTTTTGTTGCCGTCTTTCGGAGCGGTCGAATGCACCTACAATATCTTCGTGCATTAAACTAAGTACCTAACTTCGGCGTTTATGATATTTAATTAGAAAACATCCTACATATGTGTATATTTATATATATAACCAAACTCGATTTCTCCTTTACTGTGAATAGAAATATCTTGTAAAAATGTATATTATATTTGTAGTGTAGTGAATATTAGTGGTAAAATAATACTAAATATAAAAATTGTATATTTGATACAATAAAAGGACAAATGGATTAACATGATATGATTAAAAAGGGAAAACAATGAAGTACGAACTAAAAAAGTAACATTTGATAAAAATATATTTTGATAGTAAAGAAGATTTACTAACCGAGAGCAACAATTCTTTAGGAACCTTAATTAAAAAAATTGTTTGCCACTTTAAAGAAAAAAATATAGTAAAGATAAATTTTTAATAAAGCAATAAGAAAGCCTTATGACGTTTTCGAATACTCAGCTATTTACTTACTTAATTTGGAGGCCACTATCCTCCGCCAGCTAACTTCTATTTCCTATAATACATGTAAAATTTGATTCTCTATATTCTATTTGATCATATGTTTGGGTCTCCTTATTAGCAACCTAAGGATATACACTATTTATTAAAATTAACTCAATATTAGCGTCACGATGTCTTTTAACTAAATTAGTTATGCTCATAAATGAATTTGTTTATAAATAGGCCTGATTATAGGCAGTCTCTGGAGTGTAATTAGCTTTTATATCAATTTCTGAATGTGCAAATATGCGCTCCTCCATGTTTTGTAGACTAAGTAGGGTTGCAATGATTAAAATTTATGCCATATTTTTATGAAGATTTATCGCAAAAGATTTTGAATCATTCAAATAAATTAAAACATTAACACTACTAATTCAGTCCTTTGGGATGAATGAGCAGTGTCTAACTAAAGCCAAAGAATAAGCAAATTTTCTTCTCTTTATCATTAGCATAAAATTTCATTATCTGTTTTAATTAAATTATTTACTTTATAAACATTTCTACTTTCAGCTAAAATATCGTTTTTCGACAAAATCCACAAAAACAGCACAAATTATGAACATGGTAAGTAATTAACAAAACATCCTTGTGAAGTAAATTTTAACTATTAAGTATTTCAAGAGATAAAATGGTGTTAATGAAAATGGCAGTCAATGTCACTTGCTCTAACTCGAAAATTTTAAGACGTATTTGAATTATACAATCCAGTCTATAAAGTTTATGACAACTTCCGAAAATATTATGCACATCAATCAGAACAGTGAGAATTTTTAAGACATTAAGTTGGAAAACTTGAAATGTTAGAGTAGCGTGGGATAACGAGACAATTTGAATAAATTTGCCTTTAATTAACAAAACATTTCGTTCTGGTGAAAATTTTGATATATATTATGCAAATACATTATTTTAAACTCTGTGATGTAATTAAAAGAGTGCAAATTAAAAATTAGTAAAAATACTACTAAGTGACGACTGATTATATTTATATAATTGGAAGCTTACTAAGCTTTTATATATGGGAATTTTTTTCATTGCCACACAGATATCATTCATATCATTAACCTGAGACTATAATAGACTTATAAATAGAGTCTAAAAGTCTATTTGCCTAACATACACACGTATTTTATAGACATGGATTCTCTAGTTGAGGCTATACGATCTTTAAATTCTATATGTATTTTATATAAACCAAAAAAAGACTTTTTAACCAGAACTCTATTTCTATAACATACATATCTAATTTAAAAACATGGATTCTCTAGTTGAGGCTATAAGGTCTTCAAATTCTATTTATATTTTATATAAACCAAAAAAAAAAACTTTGTAACCAGAACCCTATTTTTATAACATACATACGAAATTATAATCTCTAAAATCTATCTTTATTTTATATAAAGTAAAATTATACCTTATAACCAGAAGTCAATTTCTATAACGTAGTTCATAGAAATGGATCCTGTAGTTGAGATTATAAGATGTTTAAATTCTATCTGTATTTTATATATACTAAATTGGTTATAATTAAAACCTATATTTTCTATAAGAATTTCTGTAATATATATACTGAGTATATAGAGCTGATGATCATATTACATATTATGACGAGTGAAGAATGAATAGCATTATATCTGCTCCATTGACATTAAAAAAAATAATGTATATGCCATAGAAACTTTTTGAATGAGGACATTTTTTAAATGGAAAAAAATTAATTTTAAATTGCATAATTGTTAAGGTACGAAGAAAGATTCGAAAAAAGGTTAAAACTTTATCATTTGAAAACTATTTCAATTTCCTAATAAAAAATTTATATTTGCACCAACAAGTTTTAAATTAAAGTATTTAAATGATATGTAAAATTGTGTCAAAAATATATAAGTGAATTTTTCAATCTGATAAACCTATATTAGAAGTAACAATGGAAGGCTGTTAAATGAGAAAACCTAAAAAAGATACTTTCACATGATTTTTAATGAAAGGGAAATCAATTCACGTGAAATATAGTAAAGCATATTTGTAGTGGATGATACTTATTCTATCAATCCTCCGAAACCTATTCAAAGCTGTAATGATTTCTCTACGAATGCGTGTGAAATACTTGCAGAATTATATTGATAAGATATAAAAGATAAAGCATTGTGCTACCTTAAGGTACTCCTGCTTCTATATTATGAAGTTCTGTAGTTTCATTATCACGCTTAATGAAAAAGTGCCTTGCTCAGAGGTATGATATAATAAAAATAAAAAAATTTAGGAATAGATTTAGTCTTAGTTTGAAAAGAAGGCCCTCGTGCCATGCTCCATCAAGTGCTTGTGAAATATTTATAAATGCCGCAGTGCAATATTTCTTATCATCCATCGCGCTATGAATATGTCTGACAAATCTATGAATTTGTTGTATTGTGCTATGTTTCTTAACGAAAACCGAATTGATGGTCAGGAGATAATTGACAGCAATAATTATTAAGACACATCCCTATTTGTTTATATGGAGATAAATATTTGTTTTCTCAATATATTGTACCGGCTCAACTTCGGTAATCTTGAAGACTAAACTTCACTAATTCGTTTTCAATAGATTAAGTTCTCATAAACGAAGAACTAGGCTAGGAGTGCTATGAATGCGATGAAATTTCAGAGTTCTGTGTAGTTGGGTTCTTGAGAGGAGATTGTGTCATAAAATAAGCATTACCAAATAATTTAACAGCTTTCTTTTGCATTTTTAACACAATACTTTTCAAACACCCCTCGTGTATCAGCAATTATTCATAATGAATAAATAGCTAGATTTGGAATTTAATTACTGGTTGTTCACAAACTCCTATTAACCACACAAAAATGTGCGTAAATTGTGTTAACCAATTATGGAAATGTAATTTGAAAATCAGGCCTGATATGAAATATACAAATATATAACTAAATATACAAATATTTAGATATGTAAACACAGTGAGCTCTATCCAAATATTTTGCTTAAATAAATTTACAATTCTTTAACCGCTTTTTAGATATTTTCATAAATTTTTTTTATTATATAAACAACAACTAGTCACTTTGACTAAGTAATGTTACTTAACTAAAGTGAGCTATAGTTTTGATCTAGTAACTCCTGGATGGTTGAAACGCCTCATAGAGGTCCTTTGGCATAAATTTTTAATGTTCCGTACAACTGTTAATGGAAAAATAGATTTTTTTTGTAAACCCAAAGTTATACGTAGAGCAAATTTTAAAAGACATCTACTACTGCTTTGTCTTACTCGACAGATAATTTTCCTTAATAGGCAAATATGATTTCGTGTTTAAACCTTTGTCAACAAAATTAAATACAAATAGATTCATGTAGACCTTTAATCAAGTGACAAATTTTCAGGTAGCCCATAAATGAAGTAATATATGTATTTGTGGTTTTGAGACATTTGCTATTAGCAAGTAAATTACTTTGTGATGCAACGCCACAACTCATCAGGCCTATAATTCGTAGCGATTTTCATACAACAGCTATAATTCATTTTCGCTTTGTGCCTCGTGGTGATTTATTTCAGGTATGGCACACGATTGCAAAACATGCTGGAGACCTATGCGGTATCGAAATGGAAATGAGTTGTTGGAGTTCTAACAAATTATCGATTTAAGCAATCGTTTTCGTGCTTATAAGGTTTTTAAATTCAAAATTGTGGTTTTGTCTGAGGTTACTTTATTTAGCATATAATAGGTTTGTTAAGTACGTATATGCATTTGTATATAAAAGTATATATATAAAAGTGTAGTTGTGACTTTAAGTAATGTATGGAAATACAGCATATGAGTTTGAATTAAGAGACCCGCTCTATACCCTTAAAACACAAATAGATACGAGCTTATAGGTATACTTAAATTTAAACAATTGAAGGAATATTCCATTATAAATAACAGCTCAAAGTGAATGAAACTATATAATCGTGATTTCACGTTTTTCATTTTTCTTAAAATATTTTCAATTTTTATTCTTTCCATATATATTGTGTGTGATACATGAGTATACTTTTTCTTTTAAACTAGTTTATTTCTAAAATAACCTAGTTATTTTCATATTTTATCCACATATAGTACTATTCACATGTTATAAAAAAGTATTTCATTAAGTTTCCGATGTTTCATTTTAGCTGATGTTATTTTTTACTATTTTTATTTTACAATGGAATTGGCTAATTTAATACGGTTCAGTAGTGCAACAACATTGTAACATTTCATGCGTCTTAGTAGTTCGGAATCGAGAACAATAGCTGCACTGTCACCAATTCGCGTGCTAAATTTATCACAACCTCTGCACTCTTACAGACAATTTCACAGTACCAGGCACCGCCACTTTCTTTGGCTGTTACTCGTAACTTACAACAGTTCGGTTCGCTTTACCCGTAATTCAGTTCAGAACAGCCAAGTCATCACTTAGGTACATGCAACGGGTATTGCCATTCAGTCAAAGTGTCTAATGCGCCTTGTGTTAAAATCCCATAATTGGCGGTACATGACTCGTAAACCTTAGGATTGTTTGTTTCTGCTCAACCCAATAAAGTTGTGAACTGTGAGTTTATGCCATAATTTTGTGTTTTTTATCTATAACAGAAAAGAAGTTGTAGAAAATATTTTACGTTTAGTACTACGATAAACTGCCAAGGTTGCATGGAAATGATTGGTAGTGTTATGTATTCAGATGGAGAAGGACACAATAAGGAGCTGATTTACAGCTACCCATAAGTTGTTTAGGGCATAATTTATATACTTCTTCAGTTATTGCATTGTGGGTTACTTTAGCGGTATTGTCGTAGTTGCATTTTCAGTATCTTAATTAACGCTGAGTTTGTTACTCTGTGGTGCCACTAATTGTTGTACACAATTTACATAAATTAAAATGCTTTTTTTTTTTGATGAAAAGTTGCTTTTATTTTGTTGGTGAATTTCAATTAAATATTTAATTTTAATTAAAAATTTAATTTTAATTAACAAAAGAATTTAAAAATTTATGCATAAAACATTTGCTTCTTCATTTTGCTCTCCAACTTTACTTTGAAACCTTCGCGGGATTTTATGAAAGGTGTTGGTTGAAATGCTAATTCGAGCTGTTTCATCTCCAGTTTTTGCATATTAAAATTTTGTAATAACTGCACTAATGCCAATTTAATAACAATGTTTGAAAAATACTGGCCTATGCGAAAGAAACGTCATTCAGAATGTTTTGACTTCTTCAAATATCAACACATGCACGTATAACTACTTACCAATACAAAGTCCGGCCGATATATTAGTTTCATTGATGTTTTCTTTATCCGCCAATTTAGTATTTTTTTGAAACCGTTCTGGTCTATATTTTTGTGGTTCATCAAAATACTTTTCATCATGTTGAAGCGCCATCAAAGGTATCATTACCGTTTTTCCTTCCTTTAAAGTAAATCTAGAGTCCGGTACATTAAAATTCTTGCGACAAACATGCTCGATTATTGGTACTCCAGGGTATTTTCGCTGAGTTTCTGAGTGATCAAATTTTATAATTAATTATAAATATATTTATAATAATTAAATAAAAATGAATAATTATAAAATTATAATAATAAATGAATTAAATTATTATTTTATAATATAATCATATTACTTATAATATCTATAGAATAAGGCAAACGAACTATAACTTTTGAAAACGTTTTAGTTCAAGTAAAAAAAACTTTTATTTGATTTTTTGGTTTTAATGTTAGTTAGGACTATTTTTTTTACTTAATAGAAGTTATTGTATTTAATAGAGACTTTTCGAACAGTACTAAATTGCAACAACAAAAATTTTAATTACATAATTTAATTTATAAAAAGGTTTTCGAAAAGTAGTGAACTAAAATAACAAAAAATTCATTTTTATATTATTTTAATTAATTAAATTTGTGGCTGAAATACAGCTGTTTCGAGTATTGCCAAATACCCATCATCAATGATCTATCATAATTTAATATAATAAATAAGTCGAAGCAAAAAATGTTCCAAAATATATCAAATTTAAGTATAATATATATAGTAGTAATTTTCGATATGTCTACCTATAGAGTTATTAAAGGGCTTGAGATGATCCAAAGAAATATCACAAGCTACCAGAAAGTGGCTCTGTCATATTTTAAGCAATGCCCAATGAATCGCTTGATTATATCTATGCCAATCTTGTACCTATAGAGTTATTAAAGGGCTTGAGATGATCCAAAGAAATATCACAAGCTACCAGAAAGTGGCTCTGTCATATTTTAAGCAATGCCCAATGAATCGCTTGATTATATCTATGCCAATCTTGTACTTCAAAATAACCTAAACAGAGATGACTTGCAAACAGAGTTTTGCAAACCGAAAATTTGACAACCATTCTAAGCTGGTAATGAAGTCTGGAACGTTGTTTTTAAATGTTTCATTTATATTTTAATAAATTATATCCTTGTTAATATAAAGTAAGAAAATGTTATATAAAATTCAAAAGAATTAATTTGTAGCATTGGTACACTTAACTTCTTTCCGAAGAAACTAATTTATCTATTTACTAACAAAAACATACAAAGAGGTAAAAAATATTCAACAAAAAGGTCTTCAAAAAGTTTTTGACAATACAAATTAAATAAATAAAATCTTTATAATTTGGTTGTGGACTTGTATATATCATAAAAGTTTTAACATGGCTGTATGGTCTCTACTTCACTCAGTGCTTATTCTATTGTTTATTAGTACTTAATGATAGGTAGACAAAAGCACTGTAATGCTTGCAAAGTTCCTATTTCACTGAACTATTTTTTATTGATAACAAACCACAGATTCTAAAATTTCTGCTTAGAGCGATATAACAAAACTTGTGAGGCTCGTCAGATTGTATACTCGTGGCGTTTTAAAAGGTCCCCAACGGTAGCTAGGTTTAAGTGCGTTCCATATTTTTTTTTTTTTGCTATAAATTGCCGTAACTTGTCAAAACTATACCAACTCTATCATAGTCAATCACATTTTTTGGTAGAATTTTTTTTCACTTTCAAGGCAGAAAGACTATCAGTGCCAACTATAGTGATGGATAATAGCCAAAATTATAAGGAAATATTTTATTGCGAGAAAATAAGTTCCATTTTTATACTACAACGATTTTAAAATCACAGTAAATGGATCAATTCTTGATATTCTTTCACACTGTAGATTATTACAATACATTCTACATTTACACTAGTTTTTTGAGGAAAACACTATTTTATCACCGATGAATTTTTGTACCTATAGCTTACTGATTTAATTTCAAACGGCCTCAGCACCTTCAGCGCCTCCGTAGTTGTGTGCTTTTATAAAATCCGATTTATATATTCTATAGGGTCTTTAACAAATACCTCTGGCTTTTTTCATATTATAATAACTTGTGGTGTGTCAAACTTTTTAAGAGTTACTCTTATTATATATAGTATCTTAATTAATTAAGAATGTAAATTGCATGATATATTATATATATGTCATTGTATTTCTTACATTAATAATATAAAGAGATATAAACGTATATTACCTTTGATGCACATATCCAGATAACTTAGATTTTCCAGTTCACTAAAATTAATATGCTCTTCATCAGTATCGTTGCTTTTCTTGATATTGTTAATTTCCTTCAAAACTTTTTCTAAAATGGTTGTTTCGGTCAGTATTTCATAAAGTGTAAAAATAGTTGCAGATGATATAGTGTCAAGACCCATACTTAAAAAGTCTTCAGCAATTTGTGCTAGTTTTTTAATGGATAATAATTTTTCTCGTTCTACGTGAAAGAATAATATGTGAATAAATAAAGAATAAAGAAATTATAATAGATAAGAACACTAATGAAATAATAAACAATACCTACCGAAAACATTTTCAATATGCCAAGTTTGTTTAATATTAGATCCTATATCATTGCCGTTACGAAATTTAACCAATAGTTGAAGTATATCTTTCCGTATGTAACCCTGATCCTCGCGTTGTTCAACGCTCTCTTTGATTACATCTCGAAGTCGATAGGTCAATGAAGATTTCTTAGGTAGACGGTGTAGTGTACTTTCAATGAAAAAAAAATTTATTGTAATTATTCTAAAAGAACAATATTAATGTATAAATTTTTTTTTTGTAAATAGATGGTCTATTACGTTTTTATCTTCTTTTAAATGCATAATATAAACCTTATATTGTTAAATACTACTTACTATGAGTTATAACCACGTTTTTTAAGAAAGGCCGTCATATAAGTTGAAAATATGCTATCAGTGTCAGCAAATAAATTTATATCCAATCCATAGACCAAAGTGCTTATTACATTAATTGAGAATCTATAAAATTATTTTAAAAAATTATTAACGGAGAAGAAAGTTTAGGTGAATTATTTAAACTAAATAAGTTTTAAGAGTTTTTGTGTCTATTAATATTAAGTTTATTTATGGATATGTATTTATACAGTATATATATATATATATATATATATATAAAAACTTTTTGAATGGAGACTTATAGTCATATCACTTTTATTTCATTGGGTTTAAATTGTTTTCATTAATTTTGGTAGAAAAGTGTGGTCTTACTAAAATCGTCCAGGGCTCGTTTATGTAAATGGTTCGAGTTTAACGAAGTGAGAAAGTTGCATAAACGAGCCACAGATATCTGTTAAACAGACTAAATAAAAGTACCACATTTATTATTACGAGATGCCTATTTCACATGCATCTATTCAGAGAGTTTTTACATACTATATACTATACTATACTATACTATACTATACTATACTATACTATACTTTTGGTTTTTTACTTACGTTTTTAGTATTTGCTGCATATCGACTTCAATTTTGTTCTGTTTTTGTTGATTGCTTTCTAAATGCTTAACCATATGTGTGGAAACCTTCTCTATATTGCGAAACATACCTTCTAGTCTGCTCTTCGAGAATATTGGCGCCAACTTTTCAAGTAAATTAACCTTTCTGTAACTTCTAACATAATCCCATTTAACGTCGTTAAAATAATGAAATGAGTTGTTTAAAATTTTTCGCGCCAAATTTATATCACGAACTAATAAAATGGGTTTGAAAAGAAAATAGATACCAACAAGCTGTTGCTGACTGTTATGGTAGGCTTCTCCAACGGCCTCTACATATTGAAATTCACGTTTATAGACCTGCCGTAGGAAGTGCCAATTCAAACCCGTACGTTCAGCAGGAAATCCTCTCCGTCTCCAGTGGCTATAAACATGACGCACATATAGGAAAATTACAGTGTAGATTAGAATCGGTACAAGCAACCACATTTTTCGGCTATGGCCAAAATTTTTGAATACGAATCTCTCTAGCTTCTATTTGTATATTTATTTATATATTATATATAAAATAAATATTATTTCATGCTTTTTATCAATACATTTGACTCGGCCGTTGTGTTTACGCTGTTGTTAAGAAGCGTATCTGACCCGTAGAAGTCGCACGGAATGACTGCGTCGTCAGTAGAAGTGCATTTGCAATCTCAGAAACGTTTCACGAATTGAAAACGAAAGTTGCCTGTTCTTCAGTTGTTGTTGTTTCTTTCCTTTTCCTTCCTTTTGGTATATTTTGTTTTGATTTCTTGTTGTTTTATTCTTAAATCTAACAATTTTGCAGGCATTTTTAAGATTAGAAGAGCAGCAGCATCGGACCGACTCCCAAGTACAGAACTGAAGAATACTAATTTTGTTGGCATTTTGTCGGAACAACAAAAATACTTGAGCCGAAACTCTGTCGGCTTCATAAACTGATAATTTTGCTGATATTCTCAGGCAGAGCCACACGTATTATTATCACAAAATTATTGTTTACGTTTTTACTTATACTTTTCTACTTATTTTTATTTTTAATTTTGTTTTTATTATTATTTTTTTTTACTCTTCTTCACTTTTCTTAACTAATACTTAATTTTTGTTATTTTTCTTAGAAATTCATAATTTAAAATTTGGAAAACAAAAATGATTACAGACTCAGATAAGCCATCATCTGGAGCTGCTGCTTATCAAGACTCTTAGTTAATGCATGCACATAACTCCGACGACGTTACGTGCTTCGTATAGTGTATAGTGAAGTTGGTTTCAAACTCAGCAGAACAAAATTTAGAAAACTACTAAATTCAATTTTTTTGAAACTAATATTAATTAAAAATATAAATAATAAATTTAAAAAATAACAATAGCTTAAAAGTTTAAATTGGTCGTGTGAATCTGAGAAATTCTGAAATCTTTCATTTATATACGGATCCAGATCATCCTATATACAAGTTTTAAATATTCTAAATTTTTGTTTATAGAATTTCTTTCAGTCGTAAGATAAGATAATTAATTTAATAGAGAATTATTAAATCTCTGTCAGTTTAAAGTTTTAGATGAATTCCAAATCAAGTATAATAATCAGTAGTTAGTAAAAATTTTTTACACATTATCTTCAAGTAATTGATGATGAATGTGATTATATTAATAAAAAACTACAATGAAACTAGAATAAAGTCACATATGTCTGTTCTTATATTTCACAAAGAACTATTACAATATTCAAATACTCTAATAAAAGCTTAACACATAATTATTAAATAGTTAATAATGAATATTACTATAGTGATAAAATATATCCAGCTTAATACCAAATATATCTGTTCCTATATATCACAAACAAGTACTAAAATAACCGAATGTTGTAATAAAATCTTAACACATGATAGTTAGTGATGAATGTGATAATAAACTGTAATGGATCTAGCATTATCTTACATATAGCTTTTCTTGTAATTCATAAACAAGTACTAGATAAATCAAATATTGTAATAAGATCTAAATCTTTAATCATTAATAAGTAATATTGAATGTGAGTATATTTATAAGATATTTTAATGGGCTTAGTTTAATATTAAATACATCTGTTTTTAAATTTTACATTAAAGACCACAAAAATTAAATATGCTAATAAAATTTTTGAATTTAATTTTCAAGTAGTTATCATGTTTCTAATATATACTTTCTGCTCAAAAAGTATCCGGATTTTGTTGTTTGTAACTACTCCTTAAATAATAGACCTTTTAAAAAAATTTTTTTTTGTTATATTGGTACACCCTTTCTCGACATATGGTACAAATATGAGCGCCGTATGTCAATTTACAGCAGCTTACAGCAGCTGTTAATGAGAGACATCCTCAAGTGCATTTAGCGATTTTTACTACGGAAAATTCTTGTTGTACACGATTTTTTGACCAAACACAACACCACTGTCATCGCTCAGGCACCATATTCGCCAGATCTGGATCCGTGCGACTTTTTCCTGTTTCAGAAACTCAAATTGCCCCTCCGAGGTAAGCGTTTTGAGTCGATTGAATCGGTAAAAGAGAATTCGCTGAAGCAATTAAAAGCCATACCTTTACGGGCCCACGAAAAGTGTATGGAAGATTGGGTTAAGCGTTGGCATATGTGTATCGCTTCAGAAGGAGCATATTTTGAAGAAGATAAAATAAATTTGGAATAAAATTTAAATTTGTGTGTTTTATTTACAAAATCCGAGTACTTTTTGAGCAGAAGGTATACATATAATTCCCACTGTTCTGTGAACTTGATAAATTTATCAAGTATTGAAAAATAACAAGCCAAAAATAACGTAGCAAATATATAATAAAAAAAATTTTTAGAATACTCTATATCCATATAATAAGCTTTTCAGTAGTTATGGTTGAAGTATTACCAGAAATTTTTAATACAACAACCTTAACTCAATCATTCAGCACTATTTCTTTATGTAATTATTGAGTAAAAAGTTTATAAAATAGCGATACCTATACGCCTATCACTATTCTTACTAAAGGTATTTTCTCGGCTTAATTTAGAGATAAGACTTTCAGCTCTCTCCCTCTCTCTCTCTCTGATTTCATTGTCTTGATAATTGTAAAATATATACCTGGAAGTAAGAATAAAAGCTAAGAAATAATGCGGCTTTAAAGTCAAGATGTATTTGGCTAAATTAGCGTATTTACAAATCATTTTAATCACTGAATGCTATTTTTGGGATCATTCTAAAACATAATCTAATATTACCTATGGATTAAGTTATTTAATAACTAATTTACAAATGAATTGCAACATTAGTTGGTAAACTATGCAGAACGCTGTGAAGGTGTTAATTAAATTAAACTAAAAAAAAAACATTTACAAGTAATTATTGTTGTTGTTCTGCTTGCATTTGCTTGACCCTTGTGACATATAAATCTTACAAGTGCCTCAACCTAACTCAACTCAACTCTACTGAACTATTCGCAGTATTCTACACTGAAAAAAAAAAACTAAAAAAAATACAACAAGTATCAATTACACTTTTAAACCCAAATTAAAAAAGTCCAACAGGTCAACAATGGAAGTTGTTAATCACTTAAATGCGCACCGTTTACTACACCGCACCTAACCTCACATTATAAACTTTGAAAAAAAGAAGAAAGGAAAAAAAGTTTGCAGAAAGAAAAAAAAAATTTGCAGAAAGAAAAAATAATAAAAATAAAAAAAACTACAACTGCAAAAAATGTTGTTGACTTTTTTCAAGCTTTTTTAATTTGTTTTCATTTTAAAGTCAACAAAACCGGAGGCAATTTTCCATTGCAGTAGCGATTTGCATAGGCAAACCATGGCAAGTGCAACAGCCACCTACAGTTGCTGATGATTGTGCTTCGGTATCAATTCAATCGGCTGTTGTCTGCAACATATTGCAACCTTTTCTGCTTATTTTTTTTTCATTCTTTTTTTTCCATTCTTGTTGTACCATTTTTGCCTTTACATTCTTTTAAAGTTTTTATTGTTTTATTGTTTTTCTTTTTTTTTTTTGTTTTATGTTTTTAAATGGGAATGTTTTTTAGTCTCAAATCGTATGAAATATATCTTTACCTCTCAGCCGCTGGGAACCACAGCCTTTTCCCATGGTTTTTCTCTTTAATTAATTGTGGAATTTTATTCACCACATTTAGCAATTTTAATTAAATTCAAATTAACATCATTTTAATTACGAAATATAAATTTAATGCAATTAAATAAAGAACACGGAAATTGTTATATAAATGTAAAAGTTAGGAAAATGCAAATATAAAAGATTTGCTTAGGATATGATCTGAAAGTGATTGTAAGGGAAACTTAATTTACTTGTAATGGTTTTTATATATTTTTTAATCCGGCTGTGGGTCCCTTTTTTGTTAAATAATTCAATCTTTAATATTTTTTATTATATTCTATATTTCGACTCTCCGGATTAATTGAAAGAACACCATTAAATACTTAGGAATCACGTTTGATAAGCGGTAAGCGGTGCTTACAACCACTTTTCAAACACAACAACCTTAGCGCAAAGAACAGAACAGATAGCCAGATAATTAGACCAGCACTACTTTATGGGTGTGTCGCATATAGCAAAGCTGTCGACTCTACTATCCAAAAGCTATAAGTTGCTCAAAATCAGACTCTCTGAAGGCACTTCAGAGTGCCATGGTATATCCGCACGAATGACATGCTAAGAGACCTTAGAATAGATCCGGTCAAAAAATACATAAAGGACAGAGCTCTGAAGCTATATGCGAAAACCGACAGGCTGCTCTACTTAGGACTATCTAATCTCAGAGTAATCACTAACCGCACGGGGCAGTACGCAGATCTTAGTTCAATCATTGAATAATGACGATTATGAGGAATACTCAAATTAGTCAGTTAGATGGGTGGGACTCTGCTGAAACTCCCCAGCCATCATAGAGTAAAAGTGCCCAGATGCACTAACTCGGAAAAGGCTCAACATAATCCGGATTAAAAAATATATAAAAACTATTATAAAAATACAGGTCGATAAATAAATTCAAAAAAATTTTATGGCTTAATTTATTTGTTTAGTTCAATCACAAAACTGTATTTATAAGATCCAATTTTAACAATAAAGTATTGTCATATAGTTTAATATTATATTAGTAGTCTTATATTAAACATGCACAAACCCTTTGCTTAGGTTTGTCTAAGACAAACCTTGGTCTATAAGCCAATGGAGCATTTATTCGCAAATTAAGTAATGAGTGATGCCTTGAATAAACTCTTAAAATAAGTTCAAGAATAAAAGAGATTTATCCGAACCACTAAAATTGTGCAGACTTAGTAATAATAATTAAAAGTAATTATTTCGTAGTTCTTACATATGTCTACCTTCTTATTGAGTATGTTAAGTGTCTATTACGTGCTTCTCCCACTAATCTCAATTATACTGTACAGATTATTATCATGTTAGAATTTTTGCACTACGACTTCTATATCTTTATGTTCCCTTTATGGATATGAAGTAGATTTCTTGATCTAATTTCGTTTGTGAATTGTAGTATTGAACCTATATCACAACATTTTACTTATTTATCTGATAGAACATGGCAACCAAGTACTTGAGTAGGAACCAAGTATTTGAGTGGAAGCCAAGTACCTGAGTGGTAACCAAGTACTTGGATGGGAACGAAGTACATGGGTAAGAACCAAGCACTTATGTGAGAACCAAGCACTTGTGTGAGAACCAAGTACTTGGGTGAGTAACAAGTACGTGGGTGGCAACCAAGTATCTGGGTGGCAATCAAGTACTTGAATGGGAAATAAGTACGTTATCAGTG